TCTGCAAATTCTGTGTACCCTCTTTTATTTTTTCAATTATTAATTTTCTTTGGAAAGCACATGTGGATATTTGGCCCTTTTTTTCATCTTATTTAAGCCCACTTATACTTTACGTAACGATTTTCTTATGACTCACAAAGCTACGTAGAAAGAAATTTAAAAGGAATAACCATGCAGAATGATTTTTTCCTTTTCCTCTCCATTGCACATAGCTGATTGTATAGCAAATTATAACAACCAACTGGATAACAAACAAACAAATCTGATGCTCCCTGAGTCAACTGTTTATGGTGATGTGGACCTTAGTAACAAAATCAATGAGATGAAAACCTTCAATAGCCCAAATCTGAAGGATGGGCGTTTTGTCAATCCATCAGGGCAGCCTACTCCTTACGCCACCACTCAGCTCATCCAGTCAAACCTCAGCAACAACATGAACAACGGCAGCGGGGACTCTGGCGAGAAGCACTGGAAACCACTGGGACAGCAGAAACAAGAAGTGGCACCAGTTCAGTACAACATCATGGAGCAAAACAAGCTGAACAAAGGTGAAGAGGCTTGCACGTATTCCCATCTGTCTCTGTATGATACTCTCAGCACCTCGACTAGATGTCGAAACTTGTCTGCGACTAGCAAGTAAAATCTTTTCTTCTGTGGCTGAGATTTTCTTATTTCTTTGGTTTCAAAATTTCCAGTGTCAAAGAGTTAATTAGCACAACAATAACCTTGGAAAATTTATTTTATAATGATATATAAGTATTTTCAAATGGTTTTGAGATTAATTTAAATTTAATAGCAGGTGAGGGATTGGGACGGACAATCTTTTATTCATGAGGCAGATGTACAACTGTCACCTCACATTTTCAATAAATAGACTATCCCATTCTTTCCACTAGAGGATGGAGGATAATTGCTTCTATGTGGTCATATAAACTAGTGGCATTTTTATATCAACCTGATATAAAATAATTAAATTAAACTTGAACTAGAGAAGTGGTTCCATTTGTTGTGTGTCTCCCACCTCATGTGCTTATTAAGACTGCTACAATGTATAATTTTGGAACCTAAATTTCCTTGGTTGACCTGATTGAAGTCTGTCCGTATAGAACCTAAAATAAATTGAGTTTAGTATTAACTTGAAGTCACAGAATGGCATTCTGTGGCCTGAAGGAAATGTTTCTGTATTGCAATGTGCTTGAGTTGGAAAAGGTAGGTGTTTGATTTCTTTGTAGTCCTTTAGGCTACTGCTTTAATAACATGATTTGCAAAGTTATACCTCTAGGAAAACCAGGACAGGATTGCTCTAATGTGAATAGATGGGGGCAGTGCAACCCCTCTAGTCCAGGTAAAGAATACATTTTCTGGTAGATAATTGGAGATATAGACTTATTTTCTTTAGGGTTGAGTTGGTAACATTTTCTTCGAAAATACAATTTATCGCAGTTGAAGATAACAAAAATGTAACTTAAAAATTTCAGTTAAGTTAATATTATGTTTTAACTTGAGAATGAAGTCAGCTAGCCTTTTCTCAAATTTAAGAAAGTACTTGATTGGTAGAATAACCCAATTTAATAAATCTTGATCGAGACTCTTGCATAAGTTCATGACAAAGACTGATGAAGATGAATAGGACACTTTCTGTAATGATGGAATTTGCAGTGGTGATTCAAACTATTGTCACGTTATTCCTTCATAGTGTATGGTTTTACTGTGGACTTCAGAAATCCCTGAGAGCCTCCATACAAATATTTCAGAACTCTGATTTATTGTTTATACTGCTTGTAAGCAGATTTTGGTATGTCAGACTATAATAAAGAACCTGGAGTGCAACTAGATGACAGATTATTACTGACTACATTCCAGTGGCGAGCTTATCATTTGGATTTTCACCTTTGCCTAAGTAAGCAGAAGCATTTCTGGGGCAAATTAAGATTTTTTTTTTTTTATTATTATGGATATATATTTTTTATTAGATATAACCTTGCTGACAAGTTTCAGTTTTATTTTTATGTTACTGTGATTTATTTTTTATGATTTGCAGACATATTTTTGTGATTTCTTATTAAAATCATATTGTATTATTAAAGTTATGTATAGTTTATGTATATTTGGAGCGTTAGCCTTTTTATATCCTGACAATCTGAATACAACAATAAAAGAGAAAAAAGGCAAATAAATGGTCCAATTTGTTTCTTTAGTTACCAGAAATATAGATAAAGCAGAGATGTGAAATTGCTCACAAAGCGAAAATAATTTTTTTTTCATCTGACATGTCTAGATTATCGAGCAAATGACACAATTCCTCCAACTATCCCATACAACCAATCATACGACCAGAACACAGGAGGATCCTACAACAGCTCAGACCGGGGCAGTAGTACATCTGGTAAGTAAGGTGAACCAAAGAACCTCTCCTTTAAAAAGCTGGTACTTTCCAAGATTTCAAATTGAGTGCTAATGGACTGACGTATGTAGGTGACACGTCTAAATCACTTTATGTAATTTGAGTCTCAGGCATGGTCTTGTCTCTGCAATTTGAGGGACTTTCCACTCACTAAATCATTTTATGTTCTATTTGGCAACAAAGACTGAGTGTCCTATTTTCTTTCTTGTTAATGAGCTTTAGCAAAGCCAGAAGAAACGCGTCTGCCTAATCTTTAAAGGCAGTGGGGACTTCTTTTTCCCCCTTGGCCAAAATGTAACTAAAAATGTTGCACATAGAGTTAACCTGCTAAATATGTTGCCATTTGAAACGAGCCTGTAAAAGCACATAATGTTTGAGGACGCCTCAGCAGAATCAAAAGCGTAAGAGGCAATAACACGAGATTCAGGTCCAAGAGGAACCTGTCTCAGTTTATCATCTCTCTACGATCCCTCAGTTCTTGCTCTGAAGCCTCGGAAAGCAACCTCCCAACCTCAGTCTGTAAGTGCCTCCCCAAGCCCCACTGAGGCTTCTTCCCTGTGGTCTTCATGCTGTTGCAGCTGTTTACCAGCTGTTTTCCTGATAGAGGCTGCAGATGGGAGCTTGCTGGGTGCTTAAGTCCTGTTTTTCTAATTAAAGGCAGCTCGTTATTAGAACTAACATGTGGCACGTCACACCACAATGAGAACAAGACCGATTGATCTTCACTCTAGCAATGTTTCTCCAGGAGAGCGTGGAAATGCCACTTCCCAGCAACTGGATTCAAGTTGTTCTTAGGGGCTTTTAGCCAAGAATCTCCACCCCTCTTCTGTAATGAATACGGCATTTGCGTTTTATAGTTTTCCCTTAACTAACACACTGGTTTGGCATTTTCTGGCCTGTGTTTCTGTTGGATTTAAGGGAACTTAGAAATGGCCCTTTACCTTTTAGATTTACTCTGATTCTATTATATGTGGTTTGTTTTAACAATTGACATCTTATTAAATGACTTCTTTTTTGAAACTAAGTCAATCCTGAATTAAGAGAAATATTTCAAGGATCTACTTTTAAGAAAATCATATGAAATATTTTGATATTTGATTATCTTATGCCATTTCATCTTTGAATTTTTAGTCACTCAGAGAAAACCGTATCTTAATGGGAAAATAAACAATGATTCTAGTTGTGAATGTTTAATTGACCTTCGGTATCCCTCAGCTTAGATACCTAGGTCTGGATGTTCTACTATTTGATATTCTGTGAATATATGGTAAAAAGATGTAAAGATGGTAAAAAGCAAGTAAATAGGGTATAGGAGACATCTGTGCCAGGCCTCTCCGGACTGGTGGAGTTGCTACAGGAGATGTATATCAGGAAATCCAGCGGAAGGCGCGGGTTAATGTCTATTCTAGAACACACGCACAGTCACCCCAGTGCTGGACACCTGAGTGGTGGGTGAGAGAACAGAGACACATACACGTAGTACTGATAATCGTAGTTCATTAATAACAGCCTGTCCCTAGCGCACGCTTGCTGCAGTAACATACTAGTACAAGAACATCTGGCTTAACAAACACTGCCATTTGACTGAAAATTCCCAGGTGACAAAAATACCAAGGTTCATTGAATATGGTCAGACCTGACTCATGTATTACGTGACTTGGAGAAGGATTGGATAGGGTTAAAAAAATAAGACCAAGATAATTCACTGATATAAAGGGACATTATGAGAAAAATAATTGTAGACTCATCGTCTGTAATTCACATATGAATCTAAAATGTAACATATTGGAAAGGGGGATATTTTATCCCAAAATACTTGTTGATCTAAAATTTTCGTTAAAATAAATGCTTTCAAATATATAGCCTCCTGTGTTTAAAAAAAATAATGCCGAATCTAAAATGAGAACACTGGAACACTTGAATAATTGGGCTATGTCAAACTACTAAGAATGTTCAAGCAACATCATTTTACCATAAGCCATCATTGTATAGAAACAGTGGCTGAAAACACTTCTGTCCCTTCTAAAAATCATTTTTCTGCTTCTTTTGTCATTAGTTCAATCAGTCATTCCAGCTATTATTTCATCTGTACTTGCCTTTCTGAAGGAAACTAGTAATTTCATTGTGCCTAAAACATTTCAATGGACAAGTACAAATTATATATATTCAGTGATTTAATGCAACAGTGGAACTCTAATAGATCGTATCTGTATCATATTGTATTTTAGGTTCCAGCAATTAAATAATAGAAAGGCACTCCAGAAAATATGTCTACAGCTCATTTGTTTGAGATGATAATCCATAATGCAATTAATTGCTGTAAGAAGATCACTATTAATGATATGACTTGAAACGTTCATTCATGGTTTTATTGCTTTTTTGCTATTTATTTTGCAGTTATTCATTGCAGTACCTTGCATTTTCTCTGGTACAAAGTTCTGTTTAAAATTAATGAAAAAGCGTGTTTATCTCTGCATACATAAATGAATTATAAAATCATATTTATAAAAAATGATTAATTTGTGACTAATAGAAAACATTTAAAGGCCAGAGATCAATGGCTTGTATTTTATTTCCTTTCTAGGGAGTCAGGGGCACAAGAAAGGGGCAAGAACACCCAAGGTACCAAAACAGGGTGGCATGAACTGGGCAGACCTGCTTCCTCCTCCCCCAGCACATCCTCCTCCACACAGCAGTAGCGAAGAGTACAACATTTCCGTGGATGACAGGTAAGAGGAGTGTCCAAACAGATGTAAACGGCGTAATATGATTGTTTCCGCCCATTTTAAGCAATTATTAAACTAGGTGGTCAAGAGAAGACGGATTCCTAAGGTCCACAAACAGTTGGCTTTAAATAAAACAGTGCTGGTCAGCAGGAAGTAAAAATTCTCCTTGCTGCTTCCAAAAAAGGAATTTGTGCTTCAAAAGATTCTTTTGGAACCTAGAATAGAATAGAAAAATGAATACATAGTAGCTCATGTGTATATCCTGTGTGTGTATACATAATTTAACATATGGATATATGATTTTGTGATTTTTGAATATTAGAACTTCTGTGACATGTCTTGAAATTTTTGTAAGACAGTCGTGTGGATTGATACCACAGCGATGGTATCCTGAAGGCTATTTGTTCTTAGATATTATCACCTTATGCTGAGAACTCTTTGTAGAAATGTGAACTTTGCTGAATTGTTTCTCCCAAAGACTTAACAAGTATAGTAGTCCACGTGACAGCAATTACGAAGTTAGTGTACCTCTTTCTCACTCCAGAATCTGTAGAACTGGACATGGTACCACCAGGCAAAACAAAACAGCTGCTTCTTTAAACCAAAGGAGGAAAACTCCTTTAAGGTGGAGAATTAGCGAATACATCATAAAATATACCTGAAAATACAGTCTTTTCGGTGACTGCTGTAAAGACATCATTCCTTCATTCTGCACACACAGAAAAGTGTGTTACTGTGCCCAGAAACAAAGTCTCTGTGTTTCAATTTTCTAATAATCTTTTTATAAAATGCATTTTTAAGTAAAATTCTTATATAAAAATATTAACAGGGAGCTCTCATTAGCCACAATATTTATACATTTTAAAATTCTTGTGAACAGTGAGTTAACAAATGTTGAACCATTGGTCCTAGGGGAAATACAGGGCTAGGTTCCTTCTAACCTCTAACCACAACATATTTGTCAGCTGACCAATACATAACCTTGTTTTATGTATTTTTTAAAGATGCTTATTTAATATATATTGTTCATTTATTAACATGGAACCCAGTAAGTCATTCCTCAGCAAAGCTTATTTCATAGATTTTTTTTTTAAAGCACATTACAGCCTTCTAAGGCTTAGACTCACTAAGAGCGCTTCATTAAGCACTTCTTTTGAGGGCCGTTTTAAGAGGGAAATCACTAATATAAAGCTTAAAACATTTTGACAAACATGGCAGTAAGTAAACCACGGAAAGGACGCTTGTTTACTGTGTGAGAACTGACACAAGAAAGCAAAGTGTATCCTTGTTTTACCTCAGCTGGGAACACGCACATCAGGCACTCAAATTTTTGGCCTCTTTGTGAGTCTGTGGGAATGACCATGAAAATGCCATAGATACCAATTTGGGGGTTTACAAAAAAATTACACCGAATCAGTGAATTTGCAGATACAGAATCTGCAAGTAATGAAAACAAAACTGTATGTTTGGTTTGGTTTGGTTGGTTTGGTTTGGTTTGGTTGGTTTTGTTTTGTTTTTAGAAACAGGTACTTACCCCAGAGCTCAAGCGATCCTCCCATCTCAGCCTCTTAAGTAGCTGGGACTACAGGCTTGTGCCACAGTGCCCAGCTAATTTTATTTTTATTTTTTTGTAGAGATGGTATCTCACTGTGTTGCGCAGACTGTCGAACTCCTGATCTCAAGCAATCGTCCCCACCCCAGCCTCCCAAAGTGCTGGGATTGCAGGCAGGCATGAGCAATTCCACTTGACCTGAATGCATTTTTAAAAATGCATTTCCCAAGCTGTTTTAACAACATTCATTGCTGCTTTGGTTCACAAAAATAAGAGGACTAAAATGAAATAAGTAAATATAGGTTAAAAAAAAAGAAGAAGAAAAAAGAAAAAAGCTATATTGGAGCTGCAACTGTGCCCCAAGGAGAAAGACTGATTCTAATGGAGAAGAATGAAGGTTTCGTGATTGGCTACATTTGTTCTTGATCTGGACAAATGAGAAGGTTCTCAGTTAAGAAAAAGGGGTTTTATGGACATGGGACCACACAGATGTGGACTCCTGGAAAACTAACATGAAACACATGCTGGGAATGAGAGGATGCTGGGACAGCAGATGTAAGCCAGATTATACAGATACTCCAGTGTCTTGCTTAGTCATTTATTTTATTCTTTAAACAATTAGAGAGTCATTTCTTATTTTGAGGAGCACGTGAATAACCTGCATATGATGCATATTAATGTAATTTTGGAAGTAATGGAGTGACTGGAGGCTAGGAGACCAATTAAAAGATTGTTGCAGTAGCACGTACAAGAAATAAAAGTAAGAGAATAGACTGTAGAGAGTTTTTATTGATAGAAATGAATTGGGGAGTGGTTTGAGGGAGAAGAAAGAAGTCAAAGATGACTAACACATTTCTAGTCTGGATGAGTAGGCAAGTTGCTCAGCTGTTTGCTAATAAAGGAAGCAAAAGAAAGAGGCAAAAAGGGAGACAGTGAGATTAGGAAAGTAAAGAAAGATGCAAAGAAACATTATTTGAGCATCAACTTCCCGGAATTCAGGTAAACAAGGTGGATGGTAGAGAATGAACAAGAGAAATGGGTAACAGAACCAGTTTATATAGTGTTGTACATCATTGCCCTTATAATCCATAAACATACGCCCTGGGATAAGAGAAGAGAGAAAGGCATGATTGTTCCCCAGATGCATCGTGCTTCCCACCCAGCTCCAGCGGAGGAGTACCGGGGCATTTTATTGTTGAATGTGTATTTTTCGCTCACCATCCTAAATGCAAGCCAACAACTTCATTTTGTGTTCAACTGAAGAAATAGTGATCTACTATAATTTGAGACAAAAAAAAATGGGTAGTATTGGACTAAATAGGTTGACCTCCAGTATATCTTTCTCTGAAAGGATTTTTAAGAGTAATTTTTCTTGGCTGGGCACAGTGGCTCATGCCTGTAATCCCAGCACTTTGGGAGGCTGAGGCAGGTGGATCACTTGAAGTCAGGAGTTCGAGACCAGCCTGGCCAACATGGAGAAACCCCGTCTCTATTAAAAATACAAAAATTAACTGGGTGTGGTGATGCACACCTATAATCCCAGCTACTCTGGAGGCTGAGCCAAAAGAATTATTTGAACCTGGGAGGCGGAGGTTGCTTTGAGCCGAGATTGCACCATTGCACTCCAGCCTGGGCAACAAGAGCGAAAATCCATCTCAAAAAAAGAAAACAAGGGTAATTTTTCTCTAAATGTAGCAACTCGTCTTCAGGTCCTCTGTAATACCATCTTTGAGTCTTTTAGAGAACATATTGGAGGGACAAAATATACCAAAAAATTGGGGTTGTACTAAATTAAGCCATGTTAAGTGGATTTTTTTATTGTATGACTTCTAAGACCCTATAATATGCTAATGTAAATTACAATCTCTTAGAGAAAAATAGTTTATGCAGTAATTCACAAACCTTGTGAGGTAAAATCTTTTTCAACAATAGCTCCTTAGTATGAAAATTGAAAAACAATTTAAAGGTGACATTTCATTACTATCCAAATAGTTGATTTGAATAACCTGCAGTAAGTCTACACATCCTTATCATTTATTTTAGCTATGACCAAGAAATGCCATGTCCGGTGCCACCAGCAAGGATGTATTTGCAACAAGATGAATTAGAAGAAGAGGAAGATGAACGAGGCCCCACTCCGCCTGTTCGGGGAGCAGCGTCTTCTCCAGCTGCCGTGTCCTACAGCCATCAGTCCACTGCCACCCTGACTCCCTCCCCACAGGAAGAACTGCAGCCCATGTTACAGGATTGTCCAGAGGAGACTGGCCACATGCAGCACCCACCCGACAGAAGGTACGTTGTCACTAGCCTTCTTTGCTGACAAATCAGATAAT